TTCATACCTGATATGAGTGTAATTCCAATTGGTTATGTATATAGTGACAATGGCGTGTAATGGTGAATATATATTAACGACTCCATCTATAGGCGTGTATAGGGACTATGGGATGTTACATACAGTCAGTCCATGTTACTGACGATTAATTACTGTAGTTATTGGGAATATTATACATACTTAGCGGGGAGAAAATTTAACATTAAAAACGATATATTTGCGACAAATGTAAATCATCACACGTGTTAATCACAAAGCTGTGACGACGTACCGTGTACCTATCACGTAGTAATTATAAATCTCTGACAATGCACACTGTTGTTAATACGCACTTATCACAAAGCTTTGACGGCGTACCGTGTACCCAACACGTAGTAATTATAAAGCTATGACAATGTACTCTGTGGTTAATACGTACTTGTCACAAAGCTGTGACGATGTACCCTATAGTTATAACAGGTACATTTGTAGTAATCACTAAAACTGTGACGATGCACCAAGTAACAATCACGTAGTATTCACACATTTGTGACAATATACCCTGTAGTTAAAACGTACTTATCACAAAGCTGTGACGATATACCCTGTAATTAAAACGTACTTATCACAAAGCTGTGACGATATACCCTGTAGTTAATGTGTACTTATCACAAAGCTGTGACGATATACCCTGAAATTAAAACGTACTTATCACAAAGCTGTGACGATACACCCTGTAGTTAATGTGTACTTATCACAAAGCTGTGGCGATATACCCTGTAGTTAATGTGTACTTATCACAAAGCTGTGACGATATACCCTGTAATTAAAACGTACTTATCACAAAGCTGTGACGATATACCCTGTAGTTAATGTGTATTCACTAAAAAACAACCACCGATGCACCATGTTCCCATATTTCCTTATGGCAAGCCAAGTTGTCATTTATCCATGGAGCAATGTTGATCCAGGACTTAACCAAATTATAGAAGATATCTTATTAACATATATAATATCTTATAAACATATAAGATATCTTATTTAAAGTTTATGAGATATCTTATATCTTTTATAAGATATCTTATATACTTTATAAGATATCTCATAAAAGATAAAAGATATCTCATAAACTTTTCTTTATAATATATCTTATTTATTATATAATATAGCTCATAAAAGATATGAGATATCTTATAAAGGATGAGACTCTCGCGAGACCGACACAGAAGAAATGTTTGAAAATGACTGCTCCCGTTGTAAGGTCACATCCGTTTTCGTTGGCGAGTGTGGGGTGTTATTATCTCAAACCAATCTCGTTCTTTATAAGATATCTTATAACCGAATTATATAAGATATCTCATATATTTTTTTTATAAGATATCTTATAAAGTATATAAGATATATCATAAAGTATGTAAGATATCTTATATTATTATATAAGATATCTTATATAATTTGGTTAAGTAAATGACAACTTGGCTTGCCATACTTCCTGTTACATTTGTGCATCTGTATATAGTAAATAGTAAGAAAATGGCCAGCATGATGAGCTTACTCTAACCGACATCTAACAATGGTATTTGGACATACAATCCTAGTGCAGAATTCCAACTTATTACCAGTGTTATTTCATAATGTAAAATCAAAGTGGAGTCGACGCACATTAACCAAGCTATAACTTAATATATAGATCCGAGGAAGGGACGGACAAGTTGATTCCGGCAAGACGAACGTAGGAAACAGCACCAATGACTTAATACAGCGAGCACGGCGGTCTGTCCGGACGTTGATGGATCTGTCTGGGTTAAACATGAATTATTCTTCCAAATCTTCTGCATTTCCGTGTCTTACCAATGCTCAGATATTGCTCGGACATTGGAGTGGGTGTTTGTATCGTGATCTGAGACGGTTCAGGATATGTGTTTAACATCAGCATGTATATCACAGAAACATATGCTACGCTTTGCATATATATTAATCGTTCTGGGGTTTCCACTTTTCTCGAATAAATCGTTAAGTATTTCTTTGCGGCTAACATTTAATCATACGCTGTTTCTATATGGCCTCACTCCTGGGGCATATGCCCAAAAACCTAATATTTCGTATAGCGACATAACTGTTACACCGCTTTCAGCTTTATTCAGGGCTAATACAGAATGCTCGCTTTATCACCATATACATGTGTATACGCTTCCGCTATGCAATACACACACGTATAAACATTGAATGTCATAAAAAATAGAATTAAATAGAATTTGGGTCAAGTAACAGTTTGTATCGGGGTTTGTTTTTATTTTGTTTAACGTCCTATCAACAGCTAAGGTCTTTTAAGGACGTGTAAGGGTCAGTATAGTATCCGACGTTACTATCACAACGTTATTATAGAGATGACATCAACAATCGTTGACATAAGGGTAATATCATAAAGTGGTTAATATAACATCACATATCACAAACGTTCTTCAATACACACTTCACTATACTGTATAAAAATGTTGCTTTATAGTTTACACTCGTCATCATGTAATACACACACGCCACTGTATAATACACAAACGTAACTATGGTATAAGATACACCTGTCAGCAAAGTAATACATAATCCTCATTACAATTCACACGTCTTTATATTAATATCATCACGTATTTATATAAGATAACCACGTTACTATATAATATACCACCAAACTGTATAGTACAATAAACATATACGTCACTATATGGTACACACACACATATTTATATTTATATAATGACCTAATTGTAAGATTTAACCTTGGTCTGTTGTGGTGTATCGGGTTATTAACACCTTGAGATAAATGTTACAAGTATGACCTCCATAAACCTGAACTGAACAGAATACTATCCTTTTCGGGCCTACTTCCCGCACTAACTTTCTGATGTATTCATACACCAAACGGAAAGTCTGTGGGCAGACTCAGACTCTTCAGTAGGTATAATAAAATAACAATATGTCAATATGATAGACTATACATAATTCGCTTTAAAATACATCCATGTCAGTACAAGATAGACGCATTATTAAATGACAATCATACGTCTTTATATTTTAACCTGTGTAACAGCCATGCGTCCCAAGACCAGGTACACACGTTCAGTTGATGTTGGTTATTATTGCAAAGACAACACGAGCCATCTGTTCAAGAAATATTAAAAAAAGTGAAGAAACTGAGTTGCTGTGATATTGTAAAACCATATATATATATATACAGGATTGTTTAGTATACTAGTATACACGCCTTACCTTATGTGTACAGTATAGATATAGAATGGTTTAGTATACTAGTATACACGCCTTACCTTATATGTACAGTATAGATATGGAATGGTTAAGTATACTAGTATACACGCCTTACCTTATATGTACAGTATAGGTATACAATAGTTTAGTATGCTAGTATACACGCCTTACCTTACCTTTCCTTATCTTACCTTACCCCCCCCCCTCCCCCCCCCCCCCCCCCCCCCCTGTACGTTTTGGGAAAGACAAGGTATTCGGTATTTAACCGTGTGTTATCGTATGTAAGAGTCGACTAATGCTGGGCTCACTGAAGATTGGTTTTTTTCTTCCGTGTCTCTTGAGTAGGGGACATTGAAAAACCTAGAATCGATCAGCCGCCCAATCGGAACATGCACGTGTGGTCTCTATCTTAAATTTACTCTCGTACATACAGTTGTGGGATCGCACAACGTTACACGATGTGCAGTGTGCGCACGATGTGTGAACGGTGTGTGAACGGTGTGTGCACGATGGGCGAACAATAAAAAGCTGGACGATCATTGCTTGCGCACATCTGTGCGCACGATGGACGGACGTTGTGCGATAACAATCGTGGTTGGTGTAAATTGAGGAATGCCTTAACAATTTATACGGTTTCGTGTTAACACATATACACTTGATGTTTACATACAATGTATAATTCGATATTCTAGCAACATCTATAAACTTATCTTTCTGTCTATACATTCTTATATTTAGAAATTGTGTTTTCTGTGTATTTAAACAAACTTAATCGACGCATGTAAAATTACAACACAATCCCGTATAAGGTAAACATAACCACTTTGTACATGTACCTGGACCGTAGTCCCCCCCCCCTTCCCCCCGCCTGGGGCACTTACGTAACTCGCCGAGTAAGGCCGGGGGCGGGGGTGAAAATCCAGGTGAAGGGGAGCTATAGGCAAACGAATGCAAATAACAAATACTATTCATTACGGTCAAACGGTATCGCATAGCAGCTCTGTGTGTCAGGCACTGGTCAGGTAAAACTCCGGATTGTTATTTACCTGTCCTGTTACCTTGGAGCCAAACCCATTCTTGACAGCCTAACGGTCGCTGTAATACTGTGTAACACGCATTGTGAAATTGTATAATCTTGATTATTGTGATGAGAAATTACAGATATATACACAGTGTACATTATCGCATACAAGCCTTCCGTATTTTTGACATTCCGCAATTTTGATCTACAAATGATACCAAATCGCACAGTTGTGCGGAAAGAAGCGCACAACGGGGCGAATGATTGCTAAATCGCACAGTTGTGCGCACCATGTGTGGACGATGTGCGGACGGTGTGTGAACGATGCATGCACGGTGTGCGCACGCTATTTTTGGTGCGTTGTGCGGTCCCACAACTGTATATACCTATTCCTGCTTAAGGACCGTGTTTCCCTGGCTACCCTTGGTAAAGTTTCCCTGGCTACCCTTGGTAAAGTTTCCCTGGGTACCCTTCGGTACGATTCCCTTTGTATTATTGGTAAAGTTTCCATGGAAGCCATTGGTTATGTTTCCCTGGCTACCCGTAGTAATGTTTCCCTTTGTATTATTGGTAATGTTTCCCTTTGTATTATTGGTAATGTTTCCCTGGGAGCCCTTCGTTATGTTTCTCTGGCTACCCTTCATTATGTTTCCATGGCTACCCTTCGCTATGTTTCCCTGGCTACCCTTGGTAAAGTTTCCCTGGCTACCCTTGGTAAAGTTTCTCTGGCTACCGTTCGTTATGTTTCCCTGGCTACCCTTGGTAAAGTTTCCTGGCTACCCTTGGTAATGTTTCCCTTTGTATTATTGGTAATGTTTCCCTGGAAGCCCTTCGTTAAGTTTCCCTGGCTACCCTTCGTTATGTTTCCCTGGCTACCCTTGGTAAAGTTTCCCTGGCTACCCCTGGTAAAGTTTCCCTGGCTACCCTTCGTTATGTTCCCCTGGCTACCCTTGGTAAAGTTTCCCTGGCTACCCTTCGTTATGTTTCCTTGGCTACCCTTGGTAAAGTTTTCCTGGCCACCCTTAGTAAAGTTTCCCTGGCTACCCCTGGTAAAGTTTCCCCGGCTACCTTTCGTTATGTTTCCCTGGCTACTCTTCGTTATGTTTCCCTGGCTACGATTGATAAAGTTTCCCTGGCTCCCCTTCGTTATGTTCCCCTGGCTACCCTTGGTAAAGTTTCTCTGGCTACCCTTCGTTATGTTTCCCTGGCTACCCTTGGTAAAGTTTTCCTGGCTACCCTTAGTAAAGTTTCCCTGGCTACCCTTCGTTATGTTTCCTTGGCTACCATTGGTAAAGTTTCCCTGGCTACCCTTCGTTATGTTTCCCTGGCTACCCTTTGTAAAGTTTCCCTGGCTACCCTTCGTTATGTTTCCCTGACTACCCTTGGTAAAGTTTCCCTGGCTACCCTTGGTAAAGTTTCCATGGCTACCCTTGGTAAAGTTTCCCTGGTTACCCTTGAGAAAGTTTCCCTGGCTACCCTTGGTAAAGTTGCCCTGGCTACCCTTGGTAAAGTTTCCCTGGTTACCCTTGTTAAAGTTTCCCTGGCTACCCTTCGTTACGTTTCCCTTGGTATTAGTGGTTATGCTTCCCTGGACACCCTTCTTTATGTTTCCCTGGCTTCCCGTTGTAATGATTCCCTGTGTACCGTTGGAAGCGTTTCCCTGGTAACACTTCATTATGTTTGCCTGAGTATCCTTCGTCATATGACCTTGGATATTGTAAGGATGTTTAAATCTAAAACAAAACAAAACTACAACTAAACCTTAATCAGGATCCGAGTCGGGCCGAATTCTGACGTGGTCCGTCTACCGAGTACCTAAATCTACTTTCTGGACTTATGTTCAGAAGCAAATCCAACAAATCTATTACGTTTTTCAGAATTCAGTATGTTATTTTTTTTGTGCTGACAAAATATTGGATAGCAAAATTCAGGACCTTGATAAGAACTGGCTTGCGTCTATAAGGGGAGTATTCAGTTGTCTATTAGTGTAGATACCATAATACGTCCTGGTATCTAACTCTTGGTAATTAAAGTTTTTAGGGGAGCTTTCACAGCGAAAGGTATCAAGCCATTTCCTTAAAGCATGTACCTACAAGTACATCGTAGTTTATGGCATTCAAGTTTGCACAATTTTGTGAAGAAATATCGTGTTCAACTAGTTCTAATATAGATAACTGGTCAGCCTCAAAACTGACCAGTGTCACACGTGTCCAAATCCTGCAAATAAAATGGTTCATTTCGTCGAGAGAGGCCTACCTTGACAGAACTTATCCCAGCCACCAACATTTCATCGGCCTGCCCCTGTACCTCCTCCGGGTTAATTTGGTACTTCCGGCACTTTTTGAGGGACCAACGCCGTGGATGTCTATATCCTGAGCGTTCGGAATTAACTCGCGTGAGCGTGTGCATAGGGACAGCTTGCATCATATATATGTAGTTCATGGAAGGGCGGTACACACTCCTCGCCCGGGGGTGGGGAAAAGTAAGTCTCCAAGATCAGCCGTAATTCACATTTTATCACGTTGCGGTGTTTACGTCGAGTTTGTGACAGACTGAGATCGAAGCACACTTCTCGCTGGTATCTCGTGGATCAATGCCAGGCACAGCGCAGGCCTAACCGTGGCATCATAGAACTACGAGAGAGAACTCCCACAAACAACATGTTTGAGACGGGTTTACCGAGCTATTGGTCTATTTCTGATGCCAGAGGGGTAGAATGGCGCTTCACTGGTATGGAAGCTGTGAATGGTCTAGCTCTGGTGTAAGAGGGGTACAACTGATCTTAAACTCGTATTGGTGGGGTACAACTGGTATGAGTAGCTTATTACAGATGTAAGAAGGGTACAACTGATCTTAAACTCGTATTGGTGGGGTACAACTGGTATAAGTAGCTTATTGCAGATGTAAGAGGGGTACAACTGATCTTAAACTCGTATTCGTGGGGTATAACTGGTATGAGTAGCTTATTACAGATGTAAGAAGGGTACAACTGATCTTAAACTCGTATTGGTGGGGTACAACTGGTATAAGTAGCTTATTACAGATGTAAGAGGGGTACAACTGATCTTAAACTCGTATTTGTGGGGTATAACTGATATGAGTAGCTTATTACAGATGTAAGAGGGGAACAACTGAATTTAAACTCGTATTGGTGGGGTACAACTGGTATAAGTAGCTTATTACAGATGTAAGAGGGGTACAACTGAATTTAAACTCGTATTGGTGGGGTACAACTGGTATAAGTAGCTTATTACAGATGTAAGAAGGGTACAACTGAACTTAAACTCGTATTGGTGGGGTACAACTGGTATGAGTAGCTTATTATAGATGTAAGAGGGGTACAACTGATCTTAAACTCGTATTGGTGTGGTACAACTGGTATGAGTAGCTTATTACAGATGTAAGTGGGGTACAACTGTTCTAAATTCATATTGGTTGGGTACAACTGGTCTAAGTAGCTTATTACAGATGTAAGAGGGGTACAACTGATATTAAACTCGTATTGGTGGGGTACAACTGGTATAAGTAGGTTATTACAGATGTAAGAGGGGTACAACTGATCTTAAACTCGTATTCGTGGGGTATAACTGGTAT